ATATGTTCTATTCAGTAACTTAATTTTCTTTTCAGCTAGAAGCTGATTTGTTCTCTCTCATAGTAAGTTATTGTTAATGATATCCGATTAACGAATATTGAGTATCTTGTGTAGACAACTATTTATAAATACTTGTACTCTGTTGATGATGATTGTAGTAGTTCTCCACGTCTTAGCTCCGTACGGTAGTACTGTGATGTAAGTAATTTAAACTTATTAAGACTGTTTCATATAATTAATGGTCATAATGTTTTGTTTTGTTTTATTAAAACATCACCACAAGGCTGCTGAAGACTCCTGTACTAGAACGAGACGGACGTTCAATGTTCCCAGGTTTTAAATGATAGTCTAGCTTACATCAACTCATCAATTCAACTATAAAACTTATTCTTCTGACTAATACCGTTATTAGTTCTGAGATGAATATGACTTAATTACTAGGTATCATGTAACGATATATTGACAGAGTGGACAAAATCATTTAACCAATCCAATCATTTAAAAACTAGTTACTAGTGAGCACATGGTAATTATCACTATGAGGTTGTAGAGTTTTGATTGAGATTATAAATGGATCAATATTAGACCACCACTGAAAAGGTGGATGCACTGAATGGCCAGGTTTTCAATGATAATCTAACATTGATCCATTCATGATCTCAGTCAAAAACTTAACAATCTCATAATGATAAAAATCATTTAACTGAAAACGGTACAAATTTATGAATCAAAATGGTTGATAAATGAAAGAACTACCAATTATTTTAACATTACAGTCCTATGGTCATCGTTGAATTTCCAATACATCTACAGTAACTTGAGTACAAGAAAGATTTATGTACAGTAAAGGTTCTTTATTTGTTAGATATTAACACCGTCGGATTCCGGCCGGCTCAGTGGTTTAGAGGATAAGCATTCGTGCAAGAGACTGATACATCCTGGCTTCGAGTCCCTTTGGTGTGGGATCATGGATGCGCACTGCTAACGAGTCACACAACAGGTTTCCAGTGGTGGTCTAACATCAATCAATTCATGATCTCAACCATAGAATTGTTATGTATTGATTTAATTTTTGAAAAAAATGTCAAATGAATCTTCAGCGGACTTGATACGACAAGACGTAATCATAAATTTCTTGACTGTAATTTAAACTTGTTATGACTAAGAGCTCTATAAATTTACACATAATAAATTTGTCAATGAGAGACATCGACTTATACGACCAAATCAATGACGCACAAACTTGTACGAACAGGCTAAAGTCAATTCTGAGTTCTTATTGAATATCCGAGATAGTAGATACTAGTCTAACTCAACCGGTTCAATACAGAACACAAATATCAGCCTCCACTATAGAGAATATGTATTTCAGACATACCCAAGTAAATTAGACATTTGTGCAAGATCAAGCCAAAAGTGACTGTGAGTGTGAGAGACTGTAATTAACAAATCGGGAATAACTTATGAATAGTAAATCGTACAGTAGTAGTCAATATGTCAAATGGAAGGAATATGTATATACATGTAACATAGCTACTTAGTAGTTATCCGATGATGGCATATGTATAACAGTTCATAAATAGATCCTAGCGGTTACTAATCACTTATTCTTCGTCTGAACATCATAAAATTGATTGCTGTTTTTCTTTTTCTTTTTTACTTTTGTTGGAAAATTAATCCTCTATCACATATTAAACAATTGTCCCCCCGTACCCTTTTTGTTTTATGAATTGAATCCATTGAATTTCCTAGTAACAATAATACAAGACATATGCCCACTAGCGACGATCTCCAAGAAGTATTTCTTGGAGTTCTAGGGAGAATCAGTGATCATTGAACTTCAACTGAGTTTGTTGTGATATAGTAACGCACTGAAGACACTGGTGAATTTGTAGCTCAGTTTCGTGGATTAGTTGAAGCTAGACATGGCGGCCGATTCATTTGTCTAGAGGTTAAGCGTTCGTGCACAAGAACGAAGTTCCTGCGTTCGGGATTATGGATGCACACTGCTGAGGAGTCCAATACTAGAACGAAACGACTGTCCAATACTTCCAGGTTTTCAATGATAGTCTAACATTGAGTAATTCATGATCTTAGATAATTTTTATTGTGTAGAAAATAACTGTGAATGATTATTTTCTCATTTTATTGAACCTATTAGTTAATATCATATATTTACTTTGTATGAGTTTAATAGTTGAGTTCATGAGTCATTTGAAGCTAAACCACCATGGAAAACCTGGAAGCACTGGATGGCCGTTTTGTCCTAGTATGGGACTCCTCAACAGTGCTCATCCACAATCCCACACCAAAGGGATTCAAAACCAGGACCTATCGGTCTCGTGCGCGATCGCCTAATCTTTAGACCACTGAGCCGGCCGGAATCTAACGGTATTAATGTCTAACTTCAACTAAACCATGAAATTGAGCGACACATCCACCATTGTTATCAATGAATTACTATCTCACAACACACTCGGTTAAACTTCACTGATTACTGTTTCTCACTAGAACTCTAGAAAACACCTCGTGAAGTCAGTTACTATTGATCACATGATAATTTTTATCAGAAAGCGGGGGTGTTTTATGGAGATTATAGTAATTTCAATAGTTGACTTCATGAGTCAATTAAAGCTAGAACATCATAGAAAATCTGAAAGTACTAAACAGTCACTTCATTCTAATATAAATTGTTGACAATTTAACTACAGAAAGAAAAACCCTGATAGAATAACACTTTCAATGAGTTAATCCTCAGATGTCATTTCCTTCTTCTTTCTCTCTCTCTCTCATTGTCATTCAAATGAAAGAATTACATAGTGTAGTATAGTATAGTATGTTATAGTGCAGAATAGTGTAGTATAGTATAGTATAGTATAGTGTAGTATGGTATAGTGTAGCATAGTGTATAGTATAGTATAGTATAGTATAGTGTAGTATGGTATAGTGTAGTGTAGTATAGTATAGTATAGTATAGTGTAGTGTAGTTCAGTTTACTTATATATGTAATCAATCATCATATTAGTTAAAGCAGCATAAAGAAAGAAATCATATTCATTGTAATGTTATTAGTAATAATATTAATTTATAATAAATAATGACCTTATTTGATGAATACAAAAATAAATCCTTTTAAGGACATTCATGTTGACATTTATTATGAAAAATGAATAATGAGTTATCTATTGGAGACTTTGAAATGTATCGCCTTTATAGTTTACTTGATAAGAATCTCTTTGATATGAAACATCATATTCATAATCATAATCATATATCTCTATGTATAAGCATTAATATGATTGAATTATTCGAATACAATGAGGACAAGTGTTGTTTCAACAGTTGAGATCATGAGTCAATTGAAACTAGGCCACAATGGAAAATCTGGAAGCACTGGACGACCATTTCGTCCTATTGCGGGACTCTTCAACAATGCACATCCATGACCCCACCTAGCGGAATATGAACCCAGGACCTATTAGTTTCACTCCAGGCGCTTAACCAACAAGACCGTTGAGCCGACTGGCATCCAACGATGTCAACGTTTAACTTGAGCTAATCCACGGAATTGAGCGACACATCCACCATTGTCATCAGTGAGTTCCTATCTCACAACTGACCCGGTTGGACTCCACTGGTCACTGTTTCTCACTAGAACTCCTGGATATACCTCTTGAAGCCAGTCATTAGTGAGCATATGTTGACTATTATCAGAAGGGATTTTGTAGAGTGTTGTTGTTGTCGATGTTGTGTTATCATAATACAATTCAGATTATCATCTCTGTGATTAGTCTTAGCTTATAATTAAGTGAAGAAATTTTAATGAGTCTGTAATGAATGAGAACATAATTCGAGACAATTAAATGTATTTGATAAATAAAGATGAATAATGGCTAGTTATAGAATCAAGGACGTGTGACACTTCGTCTTATTTGAGATTCATCAGATGGATTTACTTATATACCGCTGTTGATGTTCATTCCACTATTCCAACCTAGTAACATTCGTTTCAAATGTCATCACGTTATTCACTTGGTTACTGAGTCCTGATAACCATTTACATATGTAATGGAATGAAGTTTAAATTTATTTGGTATTAGTACTATACTACTACTACTATACTAGTAATCAACATGTGCTCAATAGTGACTAGCTTCGTGAGGGAATTCTCGGAGTTCTAATGAGAAGCCGTGACCAGTGGAGCTAATCCATGTCGGGTAGAGACAGGTGTCTACCTCAGAACAATGGATGTTGGTCAAGCGATTTCGTGGATTGTTTGATGTTAGACACTATCACCATTGGATATCGACTCAGTGGTCCAGTAGGTTAAGCGTTCGCGCATGAGACTGAAGGCCCTGGGTTCGAATCCCGTGAACAGGGTCGTGTGTGCGCACCGCTGAGGTGTCCCACAATAGGACTAAACGGCCGTCCAGTGCTTCCAGGTTTCCAAAGGTGGTCTAACATCAATTGGTTCATGATCTCAAGCATTTGGTATTGTTTGCTTGAATCTTCCCATTGTTATTTATGACTATAATTGATCAGTCTCTTATTGTCAAATGTACATCCAGTGCGTATTGCCTCAATATAGCCTTAATTCAGAAACATTATAAACAAAGATGAATAGTAGATAGAAGTGGAATCGACGACATGTGTTTCGTCTTATTTGAGACTCGTCAGCTGAATGTAAATTCATTTTAGAGATGCTGTCCACTCTGAAACTCGAATTCAATACCATTCACTTCAAACGCCATTATGTGTATAAATCTATTTTGTTGTAAATATACTACTTCTTAAATGTTTGAAGTAATAAAAAATTTCAAGTAATTAAATTCTATCGAACAATATCATAGGTGATATATAGTCAATAAAACGTCTTTGTACATCTCAGTTCCATTTACACATACATACAATCTGTTATTGTAACAAACTTTTCAGTACATACCACATGTCTCATAAACACTAAAGCAAACACTTACTTTAAACATTATAAACAAAGATGAATGATGAATAGCAGTGGAATCCAAAATGTACGTTTCTTCCTAGTTTGGAACTCATCAGTTGAATGTGTTTACATTCTAGAGTTAATGTTCACTTCAGGACTGATCAATTACAGTTCTGAGCATCCATCAGAAGATCCAAACGAATGAATGTATACTTTAAACATTGTTAACATGATCGGATGATCTATTTAGTATGCAGTTAACTGAACAATCATTTACCTTCACTTGGTATTGTATGGCTTGTATCTTCCTATTGAGATTTTAAGACTGCAATTGATCAGTCCGTTATTGACATATGTGCATTCTGTGTATATGTCTCGATATTGCCTTAATTCATAAGTTTTTTGTAAGCAATGATGGATAGTGGCTAGCAGTGGAATCCAGGACGAGCGTTTCATCCTATTTGGGACTCTGAGATCCAGGTACTACATCCAGCTGACAAGTTCAAAATAGGATGAAACGCGCGTCCTGGATTCCACTGCTGGCCACTATCCATCATTGCTTACAAAAATCATGTGGCTTGTTTATGTAATCAATAATTTTGATGTTTCATTGCGTTTCTTTCAAAAATCTTGAAACAGATTTCTAGGCAAAATGTTGGATTCACTTCATATTCATTCGTTGAGATTTTTACAAATATAATTTTCCTCCTTCACTCTAGAAATTTTATGACTAATTAAAGTTGAAGGAATAGTTCAATGGAGTTTTGTTCTTTGAGCTGGATAGTTTGAAGGTATGGTTAAAGGCATAACACAACTGAAGATTACAATTGTCCATTTTGTCTTTGAGATTACTACTGTTGATATTTACTGAATATAAAAGTATTGAAGTCAACAGTACCATTGGTTAAAGGTTATCTTGGAAGTTTGATCAGCCTGAGTGGGTCGGTGTCTGACGAAATATCAGCACGGATTCGAAAAGTCCGTGTGGCCTTTGCCAATTTACGTCACCTATGGCGAAGGCGAGATATCAATTAAGGGACGAATGTGTTGCGCGGCAGTTCGTTCTGTTCTACTGTACGACTGGAAAACGTGGCCGTTAAGAGTTAAAGATACTTGTAAGCTACTAGTATTTGACCACAGATGATTTAGAAATATTGCTCGCGCCTGCTGGGATCACTGAGTAAGTAATAGTGAGGTTAGACTCAGGGTATTAGGGAATGATGGTAAATCAGTTGATGAGGTTGTAAATTTTCATCGACTGAGATGGTTGTGCCATATGTTGAGTAGGCTTTGAGACTGTTTACCACGACGCACAATGTTAACTAGTGAATAGGGGATGGTTGGAAGAAAGTTAATGGCGGCCAAATCGAAATGTGACATCAGTGCTTAAAGTCAATAACTTCTAGTCTGAGCGATGTTTGCAGAGATAGATTACTTGGTTGAGGTCCACGTGACTATCGTAACCAAGAGTTGGAGACTCTGTATGACATAGCTCAAAATCGATCACAATGACGTAGGTGTATACAATACTACCATTGAGTTAACTACTTCTATGAATCCGGTGTTCATCATGTTGTGCTAATACGGTATAGCAACTTGGACTGATGCATATATATGCCTAGTCTCAAGTTGTAGCTGACTGATTGACTGAATGACTGATATTAACAGTTTATTATTGAAAGTAAACAATGATTGAAACAAAATTCCCGAACATTATTTTATAAATCTCGAATATTTCAACCTATTTACTTGATCTCATTGAATGTACTTCAGTGGCCTATTCAAAGGATTACAGTTTATAATTTCATGAATTTAAATAAACTTATTATCTTTATAGGGATGTGAAGATTGTTGAATTTGTGATTGAAATTATGAACTGATCAATGTGAATTGATTCAAATTAAAAATGAACACAATTGAATGATGTCCAGCTTAGTATTCCAGTTGTTAAGTGTTTGTGCACAAGATCGAAGGTATTGAGTTCGAATCACATGTGTAGGATTGTGAATGTGTACTTCTGAGAAGTCCTATACTCTAAGATGAAATAGCTATTCAGTGCTTTCAAGTTTTCAATGATGGTTTAACATTAGTCAATCCATAATCTTAATCATAAGTCTATTATATCTTACAACTCTAGATAAGACCTAAAGATCCTTTGTTTCATACCCAAGTAGGTCATAAATGTCCTATATCACGATGAATTGTCTATCCATTACTTCTTGCATATCAATTATTTCATACAATTAGTTCCTTTTATGAATTTAAATAAAGTCAGAACAAATATAGATGTAGAATAATATGAATTCATTATGTTGTCGTGGTTTCTCATCATCATCAGCTGCTTACAACCACTGATATGTATTAGAATTTTACATAGAGGTAAGATATAGTATGGAAAAATAGACATAAATGAATGTAAAGGCTTGGAAATGACAAGAACAGGTCAGATGTTATTAGGTGTTAGAATCAAGGAAACATTAAGGATAGGTGTTGTAGTAGTTGAGTAGAGTTCCGAGACAGATAAGATAAACTATGTGATAATTTTAAAGGTAATAAAGGATTCATGATAAGATGGATTACGTAATAATTGAATAGAATTTCTAGTATGGGGGTTGTAGAGATTATTAAGTTTTTTTTATTGAGATCATGAATTGATTGATGTTAGACCACCTTTGGAAACCTGGAAGCACTGGACGGCCTTTTCAACCTACTATGGGACTCCTTAGCATTACGCACTCACGAACCCGCTTGCGGGATTTGGACCCAGGGCCTTCGGTCTCGCACGCGAACGCTTAATCTACTGGACCACTGAGTCGGCATCCAATGGTGATAGTGTCTAGCATCATTTTGAAGAGTTCAACATAATTTAAGAGAATCAAGTGAGTGGACATTGATGAGTAATGCGGTGGTTTAAGAATTCAGTAATGAGAGAGGAATATAACGCAAAATAAAACTGTTAACCAAAAACAAAACAAAATATGGATTACCAGGGTAGTAACAAGTTTATTACTGTCTCTTTTTGAATACATAAATCCAGTTTAGGTTTTTCTTTATCGCTATCGCTACATCAAAACAGACAGCAGTTGTACTTCATTGTCTACTGATCATTTTAAAAGCATGCGGAATGTCAATGATATGCCCAGTGTCAACTAAATGCCAAGCTATTGTACTATTGAGAGCCCTAATCCTTCTCAGCCTCATTTTCTTTAGAACATTCTCAATTATTATTTAACTAAGACTAAACTACAATAATAACATATATCAAATATATTTTCAATCTCAACAGTTGAGATCATGATTCAATTGAAGCTAGACCATCATATTAAGCAAAGATGGATAGTGGCTAGCAGTGGAACCCAGGACGCGCGTTTCGTCCTGTTTGGGACTCGTCAGCTGGATATACCTGCATCTCAGACTTGTTGATGTTCACTCTGGGACTCGAACTCAGTACCGTTCGCTTCAAACGCCATCGCGTTATCCACTTAGCTACTGAGTCCTGATAGCCATTTGCTTGTGCAATGGATTGAAGTTTAATCCACTTATCCACTGCTAGCCACTATCCATCTTTGCTTATAATGCTTGTAAATTAAGGCAATATCGAGGCATACGCACAGTATGCACATATGACAATACGAGACTGATCAATTTCAGTCCTAAAACATCAATGGGAAGATTCAAGTAAAACAATATCAAGTGAATTAGACTATCATATGCTCACTAGTAACAATCTCCATGAGGTATTTCCTGGAGTTCTAATGAGAAACAGTGAAGTTTAACCGAGTGTGTTGTGAGATAGTAATTCACTGATAACATTGGCGAATGTGTCGCTCAATTTCGTGGTTTAGTTGAAGTTAGACACTAATACCGTTAGATTCCGACGGGCTCAGTGGTCTAGTTGGTTAAGCACCTGGTGTGAGACTGATTGGCCCTGAGTACGAATCTCACGAGGGGAGATCGTTGATGCGCACTGCTGAGAAGTCCCACAATAGGAGGAAATGGCCGTTCAGTGCTTCCAGGTTTTCCATGGTGGTCTAGCTTCAATTAACTCATGATTTCAACTGTTGAAATTACTACAATCTCTACAAAAACCCCTTCTGATAATTTCAATTGTTTATTTTCATCTATTTCCTCCCTCCCTCCCTCCCCCCACTGCCTTAGTTAATCGTATCTTTATATTCCAGTTCATTTATTTGTTTTCATGTTTCTACATGGTGATTAATTATAGTAATTATATTGATTCAACTAATAATTAACTTATTTGTTTAAACCAAATAATGAATATAGAAGAAACTGTATAAACAACTAAATAGATAAACATTGAATTCTCTTTTAGGAGAAAACTTTTTTTATTTTTCATGAATTAAAAAAAAAACGGGATTGAAAAATTGTGAAATCAAATAAAACTATTTGTTGATAAGTAAAGATAGTTAGTGGTTAGCAATAGGAATCTAGTTTGACGCATGTTTCGTCCTATTTGAGACTTATCAGATGAATGTACTTACATCTCAGAGTTGATGTTCACTCTGAGACTTGAACTGAATACTGTTCATTTCAAATGTCATCATGTTATCCACTTGGTTACTGAGTTCTGACAATCATTTGCTTGTGTAATGGAATGAAGTTTAAATTCATTTGGTATTGTTTGCTTGAATCTTCCCATTGTTATTTATGACTATAATTGATCAGTCTCTTATTGTCAAATGTACATCCAGTGCGTATTGCCTCAATATAGCCTTAATTCAGAAACATTATAAACAAAGATGAATAGTTGATAGTAGTGGAATCGACGACATGTGTTTCGTGTTATTTGGAACTCGTCAGCTGAATGTAAATTCATCTTAGAGATGATGTTCATTCTGAGACTTGAACTCAGTACCATTCACTTCAAACTCTATCACGTTATTCACTTAACTACTGAATTCTGATAATCACTAGCTTGTGCAATAGAAAGATTCAAGTAAACAATATCCAGTGAAATTATTCCCTGAAAAAGTTTCTAATTTTAAATAATCTTCATTATAAAAAAAATCTAGAAGTATTGGATGACTATTTCGTCTTAGTATAGAACTCCTCAATAATGTACAT